TGCTTTAATCTCCCAGAAAGAGGTCAGGGTGGGCAGAATCTAAATCTGGTCTCTTCATCTGACACATGGGAAAACAGATTTAGAGCCAGGATAGGGCTGAACTGAGTTTATACGGTAAAGCAGGGCAGAGCTGAGTGACAGTGGGATTTATGGTCTCTTGGCCCTCATCTGGCTCACACAGAACCCTACCCGTCCCCGCAGTAGCTCCATCACCTAGAAAGCTTGGGTTTGCGTCAGTCCATGGCCATATTGTTACTGGGTGCCTTTGGGCATGTCCCTTAACTTCTCTGAGCCTTATCTTGTAGAATGGGGTTCCCCCCTACCTCTCACAGTTGGTGTGAGTGTTAAATGGGATCATATGTGTCTGGGGCCCAGGGGCTCCCACCCCGGACATAGTAGGGTCCAGACTCTCATGTAAGTTAAGCCAGCATTGGGCAGAGGCCCTGGCTGCAGAGGTGCCCCTGGCCACACACCTCCCAGAGCTTCCCAGGGCTCTGTCACAGTCACGGGTTTTGTGACAGCAACCTCTGCTTGTCCAGCAATCATGGCATGCTGCTGTCCCAAGGCTTGGGGGTGGTCCCAGGGTCCCTTAGATGCTGGTTCCACTCTGGGAACAGGCCACAGTCCAGAGTGGGTCATTAAGAAAAACAACAATATGGGGTGATTCCTCCTCCCACCCCCACCCCAGGACACTAGGCCAGCAAGAAGGAGTGGGCGGGGTGGTCCTGGGGGGCATAAAGGAACACCTGATATGAGGGTGCTGTGAAAGGCTGACAGGAGTGGGTGAGCAGAGGCCAAAGTGGGACTCAGAACCCAGTCAGGATGGTAGAGGGTCAGGCAGGGGCTCCAAAGCCCCTGGACAGGGACTTCCCTGGCAGTCCAGTGGTTAAGACTCCATGCTTCCACTGCAAGGGGTGCGGGTTTGATCCCTGGTTGGGGAACTAAGATTCCGCATGTCATGGCGTGGCCAAAACAACAGTAGTAGCGACGACAAAACACAAAGCCACTGGGCAGTGGCCCTTGGGTGTGGCTCCCAGGTCACGTGGCTCTCCTGAGCCAAGACTTACAATTTTGTGGGATGGTTCAGGTTCTGACCCCGCTCTGGGCCTCAGTTTCCTCAACTGCAGTGGAGAAGTTGGACCTTTGGATACTCACGATGCCTCTGCCCTCCATCAGGCCAGGGTCTGCTGTGCATGTGTCTGTTCTCCAAGCTTGCACCTGCCCCTTCGCTCCCTCACTCCTCACAGCTGCCCGGACCCAGGAGGGAGCCTCATTCCCATTTCACAGGCAGGAGCCAAGGCCCAGAGAGGCCACTGACTCCCCAAGTCACACAGCTTGTCAGGGAGGGGTGTCAGAGCCAGTGGGGGCTGCGGGCCCCCTCTACTTCCTGGGGCTCAGAGGTGTGACTCAGCAGGCCCACCTCCAGACTGTTCTCACTGCTGTGGCTCGCACACACGTTGGTACACGCAGCACAGACATGAATACACAGATCCTCAGACACCAGCGCACACACGCACGAGCTTGCACACTCAGTTGGGATTGGTGGCTGCTGTTCCTGGGAGCTCTTGCCCTGGCTCCCAGATGCCCTTCCATTCTACAAATACTTTCTGAGGGTGTGGAGAAAAGGGGAGCCGCCTATACTTTTTGTGGGAATATAAATCAGTGCAGCCACTATGGAGAACAGTACGGAGATTACTTAAAAAACTAAAAATAGAGTTACCATATGATGTAGCAATCCCACTCCTGGGCATATATCTGGAGAAAATTTTAATTCAAACAAATATATGCACCCCAATGTTTGTAGTGGTATTATTTACAATAGCCAAGACATGGAAGCAACCTAAATGTCCAACGACAGATGAATGGATAAGGAATGTACAATGTAATGTACAAATGTACAATGGAATATTACTTAGCCATAAAAAGAATGAAATAATGCCATTTGCAGCAACATGGATGGACCTAGAGATTATCACATGAAGTGAAGTAAGTCGGAGAAAGACGAATATTATATGATATCACTTATATGTGGAATCTAAAAATTAGTACAAATGAACTTATTTACAAAACAGAAGCAGACTCACAGACATAGAAAACAAATTTATGGGGACTTCCCTGGTGGTCCAGTGTTTAAGACTCTGTGCTCCCAACGCAGAGGGCCCAGGTTCGATCCCTGGTTGGGGAACTAAATCCTGCATGTATGCCGCAACTAAGAGTTCGCATGCCGCAACTAAGACCCGGCACAGCCTAAATAAATAAATAAATTTAAAACAAAAACTAAAAAAACACACAAATTTATGGTCACCAAAGAGGAAGTGGGGGAGGGATAAATTAGGAGTATGGGATTAACATATACATACTACCATATATAAAATAAAAAACAAGGTCCTATTGTATAGCACAGGTAACTATATTCAATATCTTGTAATAACCTATAACGAAGAATTAATTTGAAAAATTAAAATAATTTTTAAAAGAATATATATAAAACAATACTGTAAATCAGCTATATTTCAATTTAAAAAATTAATTAATTAAAAAAAATATATATATATACCTTCTAAGACGGGGACGCTGGACCCCAGCCAGGGGAAGTGAAACTTTCCAGGACCCCTTAAGGCTGTCCTCCCCGGAGCTGGGGGCCCACCTCCTGGCAGGAAGCATTCTGGTCTCCAGCAACCCCCCAAATAGCCAGGGCTGGTGCTCAGACCCTTCCTTCCCTCCCAAGAGGCCCAGCACCCAGAGAATCAGCAGAATCCCGGCAGCCTCGGGGGGCCTCTCAAAGACTGTGGCTTCTGCCTTAGAAAGCAGGGCCTCGAGGACCCTACCCTGAGCGAAGCAGGGAGCAGGGATCCGGAGGGAGGCAGACACCCCACTGACTCGCTCCACCACCCCTGGCCAGGGGGTCGGCCGAGTCGCTCAACCTCCCAGAGCCCAGGTCCAGCCCCAGGAACAGAGCGAATGATAGCTGCCCTCCGTTTGCGGCCGCCAGGGCCGTTGCCCATGAAGATTCAGTGACCCCCCCCCCCCACCCAGCTACCCTACTGAGGTACCAGCAGGCCTGACAGGTCCCACAGCTCCACCTATGGGGGTGAGCAGGAGAGCAGGAAAGTGCAGGTGAGCCCAGCCCTCACGAGGAGTTGCGTGTGATCTGAGCAGCTGCAAAGAGGGCTGGCCTGGAGGGAGCCCCAGCTGCTGGGCCTGGTTCTGGAGCTGGGCTGACACCTCCCAGGAGGACTCAGCCTGGTCGTGAAGAAAGCCTGGGACCAGATGCCTGGGGGAGGCCCAGCTTCAGGGCCCCAGTGCTGGCACACAGGAGGCACTGGTGACCTGACGGTCACTGCCCAGCAGTGCCTCTCTCCTCAGGGACCACTGGACCGCCCTCGGCTCCTGGGGAAAGGACAGGACTTGGGGCCACGTGCAGGGGACTTAGCCTTCATCCTTCCCCCCTTGTCCCTTGAGAGCAGCAAGAGGAGAGTGGGCTCAGATTGGACACCCCCCAGGTTCCAATTCCAGTTCTGCCTCTAGTGCCCTGGGTACCCTAGGGCATCCTGTCTGAGCCTCAGTTTCCACATCTATAAAATGGATCTGAGGGTCATTTCCAAAACAAAGCAAGTTGAATCATTTGAGTCATACCTGTCCCTGAAAACGATCAAAAACAATGAAATATTTTGAAATTGTTTAAAGCATCAAAAAGCTGTAAAGCTGGGACCCCACAGCTCATAGCCCTTTAGGGTAAAGGGTGACCCAGGAGTGACCCTGGTCCTCTGAGGGCTGCAGGGACAGAAGCATGTTGCTGAAGGGATGGAGGGAGGGGGATATTCCTCACCTGGGTGGCCACCAAGGCACCGTCTTGCACCACTTGTAGTCTGGTGGTGGCCCATGGCTCAGCCAGTGGTGGATTCCAGGCCTGCCCTCCCTTGGCTGGACATCTGGGCAATGAACGGCCTGCACTTGGCAACCCTCCGGGGCTCTCTCTGGGGGAGTGGTCTTCATCTCAGGCTTTAAAGAGTCCCTACAAGCAATTTCCCAAAGCCTTGTGCAGCTCCCCAGCGGGAGCCCCAGCTGGCCCCAGGAGGCGGGGATTTTGAGATTCCCAGAGGAGGGACCAAGGGCAAGAGCAGGGGCGTGGCTGCAGCACCTGGACTCAGTGGACCACGGCAGCAGCAAGCAACAGTGTGAGGTAGAGGCAGGCAGGGAGACCGCAGCACTACTGACCTCTGGGTGGACCTCAGCCCATCACCCACTCCTGCCCCCTGCTCTCCACCAACTCAGCACAGACTCTTCCTGCCCAGGGATCTCCTGGCCCATAAATACCCATCGTCCCAGGAGGTGCACATCCCAGCCCTGGTGGCCCAGGCAGCCGAGACCTGCATTGACAGGTAACTACCCCTTCCTCCCTAAGGCTCCTGCAGCAGCTCAGAGGAGCATGGGGGAGGGGCAGGAAGGAACAGGAGTCGCCTGAAACCCCGACACTCCACAGCCAGCTCCTGTGACACCGTCCACTTCCCCCGCTGTGCCCGGTTTCCCCATCTATAAAATGGGAGCACAGCCCTCTTGCTACAGGGAGTGTGGCTTGCTGAGTCCATCTTCCCAAGTCTGGGCCCCTTTTCTCAACTCGGGAGAAAGAAACTTCCTCTCTCCAAAGGCAGCAGAGAAATGATCTCCTCAGAGAAGGGCAGGGGAGCGCAATGCTTGCCCTCAAGGAAAGGGTGCCAATGGAGGGACTGCAGGCACCAGGAGGGACCAACCTGGGCCACTGGGGGTGCAGGTGGGACACCGCTGAGCTAACATCCAGCCACAGCCAGGGCCGTTGCCCATGAAGATTCAGGGCCCCCCCCCCCCCACCCAGCTACCCTACTGAGGTACCAGCAGGCCTGACAGGTCCCACAGCTCCACCTATGGGGGTGAGCAGGAGAGCAGGAAAGTGCAGGTGAGCCCAGCCCTCACGAGGAGTTGCGTGTGATCTGAGCAGCTGCAAAGAGGGCTGGCCTGGAGGGAGCCCCAGCTGCTGGGCCTGGTTCTGGAGCTGGGCTGACACCTCCCAGGAGGACTCAGCCTGGTCGTGAAGAAAGCCTGGGACCAGATGCCTGGGGGAGGCCCAGCTTCAGGGCCCCAGTGCTGGCACACAGGAGGCACTGGTGACCTGACGGTCACTGCCCAGCAGTGCCTCTCTCCTCAGGGACCACTGGACCGCCCTCGGCTCCTGGGGAAAGGACAGGACTTGGGGCCACGTGCAGGGGACTTAGCCTTCATCCTTCCCCCCTTGTCCCTTGAGAGCAGCAAGAGGAGAGTGGGCTCAGATTGGACACCCCCCAGGTTCCAATTCCAGTTCTGCCTCTAGTGCCCTGGGTACCCTAGGGCATCCTGTCTGAGCCTCAGTTTCCACATCTATAAAATGGATCTGAGGGTCATTTCCAAAACAAAGCAAGTTGAATCATTTGAGTCATACCTGTCCCTGAAAACGATCAAAAACAATGAAATATTTTGAAATTGTTTAAAGCATCAAAAAGCTGTAAAGCTGGGACCCCACAGCTCATAGCCCTTTAGGGTAAAGGGTGACCCAGGAGTGACCCTGGTCCTCTGAGGGCTGCAGGGACAGAAGCATGTTGCTGAAGGGATGGAGGGAGGGGGATATTCCTCACCTGGGTGGCCACCAAGGCACCGTCTTGCACCACTTGTAGTCTGGTGGTGGCCCATGGCTCAGCCAGTGGTGGATTCCAGGCCTGCCCTCCCTTGGCTGGACATCTGGGCAATGAACGGCCTGCACTTGGCAACCCTCCGGGGCTCTCTCTGGGGGAGTGGTCTTCATCTCAGGCTTTAAAGAGTCCCTACAAGCAATTTCCCAAAGCCTTGTGCAGCTCCCCAGCGGGAGCCCCAGCTGGCCCCAGGAGGCGGGGATTTTGAGATTCCCAGAGGAGGGACCAAGGGCAAGAGCAGGGGCGTGGCTGCAGCACCTGGACTCAGTGGACCACGGCAGCAGCAAGCAACAGTGTGAGGTAGAGGCAGGCAGGGAGACCGCAGCACTACTGACCTCTGGGTGGACCTCAGCCCATCACCCACTCCTGCCCCCTGCTCTCCACCAACTCAGCACAGACTCTTCCTGCCCAGGGATCTCCTGGCCCATAAATACCCATCGTCCCAGGAGGTGCACATCCCAGCCCTGGTGGCCCAGGCAGCCGAGACCTGCATTGACAGGTAACTACCCCTTCCTCCCTAAGGCTCCTGCAGCAGCTCAGAGGAGCATGGGGGAGGGGCAGGAAGGAACAGGAGTCGCCTGAAACCCCGACACTCCACAGCCAGCTCCTGTGACACCGTCCACTTCCCCCGCTGTGCCCGGTTTCCCCATCTATAAAATGGGAGCACAGCCCTCTTGCTACAGGGAGTGTGGCTTGCTGAGTCCATCTTCCCAAGTCTGGGCCCCTTTTCTCAACTCGGGAGAAAGAAACTTCCTCTCTCCAAAGGCAGCAGAGAAATGATCTCCTCAGAGAAGGGCAGGGGAGCGCAATGCTTGCCCTCAAGGAAAGGGTGCCAATGGAGGGACTGCAGGCACCAGGAGGGACCAACCTGGGCCACTGGGGGTGCAGGTGGGACACCGCTGAGCTAACATCCAGCCACAGCTTTGGACAAGCAACCGCCCCGCCTGGCTTGGGCTCCTCAGGCCTCAGGGAGCTCACCACCACCAGCCCAGCTCTAAGCACTGGGCGTTGTGCTGGTGCCAGGGTTGCCTAAGCAGGTCCACCCACCAGGTGCGCCACCCCACGCGGTGATGTGCTGGCTGCTGGTGCCCTGAGAGGCCCTGCACCACATGGCAATGACCAGGGCCACTCACGGCAATGAGACAGCTAGCGCCTACCTGGCCCGGCACTGGCTGTGGGTCCCAGGGGAGGTGCAGAGACTCAGCTTCTCCACCATACCTGTGCTACTGGCCAACCCGGTGGCCTCAGCCGCCTGCTGCCGCTACGTGGGCCATGACCTCAGTCATGCCTTCACCGGGTCCTTCCTCAGGTGAGCATCCTGCCCTGCTGCTACAGCTCCCTCTGGGGAGCAGCACAAGGCTTTGGGAAATTTGGCTTGTAGGGACTCTTTAAAGCCTGGGACGAAGACTACTCCCCCAGAGAGAGCCCTGGAGGGCTGCCAAGTGCAGGGCTGCCAAGGGCCCCCACCTGCTAAGCTGGTCCAGTCCCTCCACCTGGCAGGAGGCACCCTGTGATGCCCATTCCTCCCTTTTCAGTGTAGAGAAATTCAGATTGATGTCACCTCCTCCAGGAAGCCCTTCCGGATCCCAGGCTGAGACGGGGCCTCTTCTGGGTTCCCCAGACCCCGGGCTTGCCTCAGATCAGCCCCCCACAGGCTGCGTTTACGCAACCACTGTTTATACCTTCCTTCAGTGGATACTGGCCGAGCCCCACCTCTGAGCCCCATCTCAGGCCAGCTCGGGTGAGAGAACGGGGAATAGGACTGAGGCGCTGTCCTCAGCTTACTAAGGACAGAGAAAGGACTCAGCGACCACAAACCAGGAGGCTAAATGCAGGGCTGGGGGCTACATGAAGCATCTAACTTGGTCAAGGGCAGTCAGGGAAGGCTTCCGGAAGGAGGCGGGATCTCAGCCAAGCCCCAAAGGGTGAGTATAAGTTAACCAGGTGGAGAGGAGAGGAGTTCCAGGCTAGGGCCCAGCAGGTACGAGGCCTGAAGGCAAGACCAGCACAGTGCTTGGAGGTGTGGCCGGCGTGAGAGCTGATGAGGCGGGTGGGCAGGGCCAGGCCGAGGGTTTGGGGCCATGCGAGGGGGCAGGCAACCACATGAGCCGCTGAGCGGCTCTGTCCCTCCTGCAGGGTCTCAGGGGCTTCACTCCTGGCGGCGGCACAAGGCTGCCCTCCCCCGCACCACTCACACACTCTGACCTTCTGATCGCTGACGGAGACCGTCAGGGGCTGACACTACATCTTTGCCCCTGAAATGCCAGGGCCAACGCAGATGACCCACACGAGGTGTCAAGGGCCAGAGACCTGAACCAGCTGCTGGGGCCCAAGGCCTCGGCCGGCCTTCTACTTATCCCAGACCTTCACAACACCACGGCCTCACCTGGAAGGCACCTACAACGTTTATGCCATGCACCTGTGCCACCACCCATCTTCCTTGTGGATGCTGAATAATACTCTTTTTTTTTTTTTTT